CCTGCCAACCAGATATCCTAAATTAATCCAGTTCCATTTGCCAGCATTTGGGCCCATATCCCTCTAAACCCTTCCTATACATGTACCCATCCAGGTGCCTTTTAAATTGTAATTGTACCAGAACCACCACTTCCTCTGGGAGCTCATTCCATACACGCACCACCCTCTATGTGAAAAAGGTCCTTAGGTCTCTTTTAAATCTTTCCCCTCTCAGCTTAAACCTATGCCCCTCTAGTTTTGGACACCCCTAACCTGGGGGAAAGGCCTTGTCTATTCACCCTATCCATGCCCCTCATGATTTTATAAACCTCTTTAGGGTCACCCCTCAGCGCCAACGCTCCAGGGAAAATAGACCCAGCCTATTCAGCCTCTCTCTGTAGCTCAAACCCTCTAACCCCGGCAACATCCTTGTAAATCTTTTCTGAACCCTTTCAAGTTTCACGACATCCTTCCTACAGCAGGGAGACCAGAACTGAACGCAGTATTCCAAAAGTGGCCTCACCAATGTCCTGTACAGCCTCAACATGACCTCCCAACTCCTATACTCAATGCTCTGACCAATAAAGGCAAGCGTACCAAATGCCTTCTTCACTACCCTGTCTACCTGCCACTACACTTTCAAGGAACTATGAGCCTGCACTCCAAGGTATCCTTGTTTGGCGACACTCCCTAGGACCTTACCATTAAGTGTATAAGTCCTGCCCTGGTTTGTCGTGCCAAAATTTAACTGCTCCTGAATTGGAGGGAAGTGTCTGGGGGGGGGAAGACAGGGAACAACTCAAAACACTCAGCAAGAAATTGAACCTGAGATTCAGAGCAGCAGGGGGGCACTCCCTTAGTGCTGTTCTGAAAGAATTTGCTTGGGACTTTCCACTGATGAGATCTACCGCAAGCTCCATCAGCTCAATTGCCCTCAAATACTAACTGTCCCACTTCGCCTCCTGCTGCCCAGGTTTATTATTAACTTCTTTATTATTATTAACTTCTCTGCATCAACTGCCATCAAAAACCTCCCATACCCTTTTTTACCACCCTACCTCCAGGTTCCTGGTCCTCCCCTAAACTACATTCCCTCGAATCCCTTTCCAGTGGGCACAGACTTCTGAGGGTCAATGCTGGACAGAGTCTCTGCTGCCTCACAGCTCCAGGGACCCGGGTTCGATCCCACCCTCGGGCGACTGTCTGTGTGGAGTTTGCACTTTCTCCCTGTTTCTGTGTGGGTTTCTTCCGGGTGCTCCGGTTTCCTCCCACAGTCCAAAGATGTGCAGGTTAGGGTGGATTGGCCGTGCTAAATTGTCCCATAGTGTCCAGGGATGTGCAGGTTAGGGTGGATTGGCCGTGTTAAATTGTCCCATAGTGCCCAGGGATGTGTAGGTTAGGGTGGATTGGCCGTGGGAATTGCAGGATTACAGGTAAGCAAGGGGTGGGATGGTCTTTGGACAGTCGGTGGGCCAGAATGGCCTGCTTCCACCCTGTGGAGATTCCATGATTCTATGAGTCCCTTTTCCCCGGGATTCTGTATTATTTATCATTCCTTCATGGGATGTTGGCATCACTGACTGAGCCCAGCATTTACCATCAATTCCTAGTAATACCTTGAACTGAGTGGCTTGCTCTAAGGGCAATTAAGAGTCAAGGCCACACTGCAGGTATGGAGTCACATGTGGGCTCAGACCAGACCCTTCCCTCAAACGCAGCAGTTGGGTGTCTCCAATAATCAATGTGGTTGCCGTTAGACCAGCTTTTTAATCCAGATCTTTTTTATTGAATTCAAATTTCACCATCTGCCAACTGTCTCTGTTTCTCCCTCTCATGCTCTGCCTCTCACTCTATCATAGAACAGTACAGCACAGTACAGGCCCTTCGGCCCACAATGTTGTACCGAACTTTTACCCTAAACCTGAGGTCTAACTAACCTCCACCCCTACCTTATACTACCATCCATATGCCTATCTAATAGCCGCTTAAATGCCCCTTATGAGGCCGACTCCACTACCCTCTCCGACAATACATTCCACACATTCATCCTCACTTTCTCTCTCTCTGTCTCTTTCCTTCTCTTTGTAGTGTTTGACTTCTTAACTTTCTTTTACCATTTTTATACTAAGAAGACTATAGCGCTGTACTTTATAACTTATTTCTTTATTTTTCTACTTCTGTAACTAAGATTTTGTACCTAAATACTTTGTACCTAAGATATATGTGGTGATATTGTAGACTTTTCACTGTACACTGGTACCTCATACTTGAGTACACATAACAATGAAACCTACAACTAAATCTATTTTCAGTCTATTTCTGTCTCCATTTGTCTCTCTCCTTCTGCCTCTTCCTCACTATCTGCCTTACTCTCTCTTTCACTATCTCTGTGTTCTCACTCTATCTCTCGCACTATCTCTATTGTGATCTCTTTGTTGTCCTTATTGAATTTCTGACTCTGACTGTCTATCTAAATCTCTCTATTTCTATCTTGCTGTCTCTTTCTCACTCTCTGTCTGCTTCACTGTCCGTAACTGCCTCTCTCACTGCCCCTCTCATTCACAGTCATAGAGATACAGAGCACAGAAAAAGACCCTTCAGTCCAACGCGTCCATGCTGATATCCTAAATAAATCTAGGCCCATTTGCCAGCATTTGGCCCATATCCCTCTAACCCCTTCCTGTTCTTGTACCAATCCAGATGCCCATGAAATGTTGTCATTGTACCAGAATAGGAAGGGATTAGAGGGATATGGGCCAAACACAGGTAAAAGGGACTAATTCAGATTTGAAACCTGGTCAGCATGGACATATTGGGCAGAAGGACCTGTTTCCATGCTGTATGAATCTATGACTCCTGCCTTCTCCTCATATTCCTGCTCCTTTGACTCGGTTTAAGTCACTGACCAATGCCTTCTGGAATGTGTCAACTGAAACACCATGTGGAAACGCTATATTTTTTAGACCACGTTAAATCCCTGGAACCTTCCTGGAAAATCTCCTCCATGCCCTTCAGAGGTGAGGTGGGGGACAGCTGAGGGCTTTTACACTGACTATATGTATGAGAGTATGAGTTAAAGTGAGTGTGATTATGTGTAAGGTGTGAGAGGGAGAGTGTGTGTTTCTCTGCATGTAGGAGAGAATGTGAGTTTGTTGTGTGTGTGTGTATGCGGGGAAGACTGAGTGAGCGTGTCTGTGCGTATGAGCGTGTGTGTGTGTGAGAGACGGTATGTGAGCGTGTGTGTGTGTGGGAGAGAGTGTCTGAGCGTGTGCATGTGTGTGAGAGAGAGAGTGTCTGAGCGTGTGCGTGTGTGTGAGAGAGAGAG